TCATTCAAATCCTCTCTCAGTCCCTCGAACATCCTTTGTGGATGGCAAGCAGGTAACAGGTGTTGTAAAACTGCTCCAAGCCTTGGTTTCCTCTTCTGTAAAATTGAGATCTATGAGTGGAGCGGGGTCACAGCACTAATGAGTGACAGAACTGGTGCCAGAACTTCTTTCTTCTAATTGCTAATCCTGTGCTCTCTTTGTGCGTCATAACAAAACCCTTATTATGGTGGAAGCTCGGTCATCTTGTGGGCACCAGGGAAGGCACCATTATGGAGGATAATTTTCTAAGTAAACAAGGGTACAGTGTTGGGCTGCACCCCGCAGGCCTACAAGCCCTGTGCTTGCCCAGCTTCAAGACTGAAGAAAGAGCCTGGACTCAGCAACAGAGACATCAGTAGTTTAATGGATGGGGGATCTTACACACATGAAGCAAGGTCCTGGAGTGACACCCCACAATGTCTGGCTGACAGCGGGCAGGACACGGTGGCAGTCTTCGCTCTCAGGGAGAGTGGGAGATTACCAGTTATAGGGCAATTGACCTCAGGTAGGCTCATTAGTTACCAGGGAAACCAGTAGGGGACACACCCCTCACTACCCGTTTGATAAGAACAGTCACTCGCTGGGGCCTGAGGCAAGTATATAGGAAGATCACTCATGTGCCTAAGATGTAGGTGAAGCAGGCACTGGCTGGGCAGGGGAAGTACAGAGAGCAAGAGAACCGCCACCTTTAGTGGCCTCACCATACATGCAGCTGTCTCAACCTTTTAATTTAATTTGACTTTTTTAAAAAAATTATTTATTTATTTATTTATTTATTTTTGGCTGCATTGAGCCCTTGCTGCTGCACCTGGGCTTCCTCTAGTTGTGGCAAGCGGGGGCTACTCTTCGTTGCGGTTCGCGTGCTTCTCTTGTTGCGGAGCATGGGCTCTAGGCGCGTGGGCTTAAGTAGTTGCGGCACGTGAGCTCAGTAGTTGTGGCGCACGGGCTTAGTTGCTCTGCGGCATGTGGAATCTTCCCGGACCAGGGCTTGAACCCTTGTCCTCTGCATTGGCAGGCGGATTCTTAACCACTGAGCCACCAGGGAAGCCCTTAATTTGCTTTTTAAAATTTAAAATTGTACGATAACCTGTTTATCTCCTTCACACACTGTGATACTAGTGCGCTCCCCAACTTCCTGCACTTACTGGGGACGATGCACCCAGCCACACACCAGCTGTGACTGCATTGTGGTGCCCTGTCCTCCTAGGGGGTATCTGTTGGGGGACCTTTTCCATCACTTGGATGCATACGGACTGGAGGCTCCTTAGCTCCGGCGACTGCTGCGTCCAGTGAGACACCAGGAGCTTTGCGTTCTTGCCCTGCTAAGAACACCCCAGTCTCAGAACACACCTGCCTCAGTCACGGGCTCCCTTCCCAAGAATCTGCTACTCTCTGCTTTTGCCACTTCTAATTTCTGATTCTGTTTTTCTCTCTGCCACACCCTCCATTGTGATTTCCCTTCCTCTTCTCTGATCCACGCATTCTTTCAGCAAGCATTGGTTGAGCACCTCTTACATGCTGTACCCCGAGGATGCAGAGGTAGAGGAGAACACCAGACAAGAAAACGCATGTACCGTGGCTCCGGGAAGCACGGAGCTGAGTTGGGGGAGGACTTGTTCTGCCTGGGGAACCTGGGAAATCTTCACGGGACAGGTGACTCTGCACGTGTTCACCTGTGGAGGCTGGAAGGGAGTTCTCAGGCCAGTGAACAGTGTGATCCAACTGACACATTTGCCAGCAGTGAGAACTGATGTAACTAGAAAATCATAACCTTGACGTTCAGGGAGGCAGTCGTGCAGCACTGCTGGAAAGATAGCCAGGGGCCAAGGCTGCAAGGCTCTGGTGTTGCCACTGCTGAGGTGTTGACCTCACCTGGAGGTCCCACGAGCCCCAGAGGGTTTCCATGGCCGGCCTGCATGCACTCGGACAGGCGCCAGGCCCGGTGGGACCGAGGGGACAAAGGATCGGAAGGAGGGCTCCGGTCAGGAATCCTCTGCAGTAACCTGGAGAGAGAGGACGAGGACCAAATGCAGGCTGAGCCCGGAAAGAAGAGGGCACAGTTAATAAACATTTTGAGAAAGAGTCATTAGGGCTTGGGGAGAGGAGGGAGGGGATGGTCAGAATTGGCCCCAAGCCGCCAGCGTAGAACCCTCTGTATCACTGGTGAGCCCTGAGCTAACAGCAGGGCTGCAGGAGGTGGGGGGGCGGGAGGCGGGGGGGAATTAGTGGAGAAGAGGTGGGGTTTGGATTTGCTGGTTTAAAGGTGCCTTTGGGATTTCCAGGTGGCAGTTGGAAATATTGGTTCAGGCTCAGGAGTCAGAGCTGAAGGTATGGTGACTTAAGGATTTAGATGATGGTTTTGACCTTAGACGGCCCAAATAGAGTATGTGTAGGAAAAAAAGACAAGAAAAAAGAAGGTGGCTGATGACACATCAGAGAATATGGCCTTAAAGGATGGCTGGCATTTTACTGTAACCGTACTTTGTTCGGATGTAGTGAATAGAACACTGAACCGACCAGCAAATGCTTAAGGGTCGGGTGCTGGACGAGGCACCCCGCAGAGACTTAGGTTAGCAAAGGTGATTCCGAGAGCAGAGCGCCACTGATGGGGGGTGGCAGGCAGGAACGTGAAGCTGGGGGCAGATGCCGCTCAGCAGTTATGGTGAAGTGACCTTTGGGGCTCATGACTCAGCTCGCTGGCGCCAGTGAAACTTTGTGTAAGTGCAGTTTCTTCTGCTCTCTGAATGCCCTGTTGCTTTCCAGTTTTCACAGGAAAGAACTGATATTTTAGATATTAGCTAATTAAAACATCCCTTTCTTTCTAATTGGAAAACTGAACTGTGCGCACGTGTAACTGTTTGATCTTTCTTTTCCATTTTAGCTGTTTTGCTTGCAGCTCAAAAGACTCTTTTTCTCTCCTTCAGATGGTAGATCTTGTCCTGGACCTAGCCAGTCAACAGCATATTAGAAAGTTCCTAGCCAGAAATTTTACTCTACACAGATTTGGTTATACTAAGGCCTTTTTTTTCTTTTTTCTTTTCATTTATTTATTTTATTCTAATTATTTATTTTTGGCTGCGTTGGGTCTTCGTTGCTGCGTGCGGGCTTTCTCTAGTTGCAGCAAGCGGGGGCTACTCTTCTTAGCGGTGATCAGGCTTCTCATTGCGGTGGCTTCTGTTGTTGCAGAGCACGGGCTCTAGGTGTGCGGGCTTCAGCAGTTGCGGCTCACGGGCTCAGTAGCTGTGGCTCACGGGCTGTAGAGCGCAGGCTCATTAGTTGTGGTGCACGGGCTTAGTTGCTCCACAGCATGTGGGATCTTCCCAGACCAGGGCTCGAACCTGTGCCCCCTGCATTGGCAGGCAGATTCTTAACCACTACGCCTCCAGGGAAGTCCCTATACTAAGGCCTTTTAGTCTGAACATCTATTAATATATGCAGTGAAGTTTACGTCTTGTGTACATGGCTTCAACCATAAATGTACTGAGAGTACCGTGCTCGTGGTGCACTGGATGATTTGGCCTGCCCCTGCGCTGGGCTGCAGTAGGTGGAAGTCGGGTTTTCTTTCCATCTGTTTCAGTCTCCTGTTTCAGACAGTTTTCATGGTATCACTGACTCTCCAAATGGATTATGAATCTTGTATTTTACAAAATGTGTAATTTTTGGGGGGAAGCTGTAACTTCTATACATAAGCAAGCCACTTCACCTGACGCTCAAAGAACTAGCGATCTGTCCCAGTGTTGGAGGAAGTAAGCTGTTTTTAGGCCCACTGGGAGATAATAAGTCCACTTCTGAGTCTTCCTAAGGGCTTTTCAAGGGTATTTTGGACTATGCACTGTTCCCCATCCCTGCAACCTTTAAATCCTAGCATCACATAAGACGTAACTATGAGGGTCGATCACTCGTAAATGAAATCAACCTCCCCTCTTTGTCATTTTTTGGAGGGAACACCAATACTGTATTTGGTAAAAGGACCACGAGGCCAGCTCAGAGCAAAGACAACAATTTGAAACCTTTGGTATGCTGAGTTCTGGAGGAGAGGATGGCCTCCTAGAGAGTAGAAGTAGGGGTGTCTGTGAAGTTGGGGACTGAGAGGTCACCGAGGCGCTGGGCTGTCAGAGAAGTGTCACCCAGTGGGAAGATTGGGATCAGGCGTTAACACCCTTGCTTCTCATCTCAAGTCCTCCAGGTACAGCCAAGTGGAAAGCATTCCACCTCCTTTGGCCTTTCTTTCCTCAGCTGAGATGAGATGACTGTGGGTGAATTTGCCTCAGAGGAACCGAGGAAACAGGTGGACAAATCCAAGGAAAGGGAGGTCTTTCAGATCGGGTTGAGGTTCTGTTTTGTATGACTTATTATAATTACCATCATGTTGGGAAGCCTTCACCTGGGGAAATGGCATTATTTAGATACTTGCAGGATCTCTGAGGCTGAAGAAGGAAGAATTTGCACCAGTGTCTGTGTACTTCACCCAGGATAGTTCTTGGGCTGAAGCAATGCCTGTTAGGTGACTTGGCTCCCTTTTGATGTGTGTGTGTGTGTGTGTGTGTGTGTGTGTGTGTGTGTGTGTGTGTGTGTGTGTGTGTGTGTGTGTCTCCATTTTGTATGTACTTGGTATCTACTCTTTTTACCTGCCTTCATCTCTCCATCAGTCCAGGTCCTATATCACCTGTAAGACCCAGGACTAGACTCTCACAGAACACTTTTCTAACTATTCTGGCTCATAGTAATCGTCCCTTTTATATTCCTGTGACTTTTTAAGTTTATATCACATAGAACAGCAATTTTCTCAACAGTCTTTTCTGGTGGTTTGTGTGCATTTCAGTTCTGGGCACAGAAATGTAGATTACTTTGTTTTATTCTCTTGTTGTTTTACATATACATTACCTGTAGCACCAGCTAGCATGGAAGTTCCTTGATAAATACTGTTCTTTTTGTTTTGTCATTTTTTATTTTTCCTGTAGAGCTTTCATTGTTGAGGTTCCTCAGTGCTGAACTAACCAGAGGGTACTTCCTTGAACATAATGAGGCCAAGTATACAGAAAGAAGAGAAAGAGTATACACTTGTATGCGAATACCAAGAGAATTGGAAAAGGTACTTTTTTTTTTTTAACTCGTCGTCGGTTTGAAAATTATGTCAATATGTTAATTCTATTAAAAAATTGTGAACAACTTGAGTTGCGTTTTTAAAATATTGGAAATAACGTGATCATAAATAATTAAATATATTGGGGGAGTAGGAATTCCCATTCAGGAAGAGTCTAAAAAAGTGTATTTTTAGTGTAAGATCCAGTGATTTTTAACTTTGCAACTTGTTAAACTTAACCGTATTCCCATTTGTGTCCCACCCAAATAACTTTTTCAAGGAATTGCTCTCTACTTATTCCTTTAGTTCTCTTCAGTTTTGTTTTACAAGAAGCAGTTTTTTTCCCATTCAGCGTAATATAAATTATTTAATTGCACCCTTTTTTTTAAGGTTTCAGTTTCTCAGAAAGCCCTCATTTTTAAAAACAGTTTCTTCAAAGAAAAAAGACAATTAGTTTCACCTTCATCACAGAAAACATCTCAGCATAGGATAAACATAGTAATAGCAGCACTAAATCTTTGCACATCGGGAGCTCCCTTGATTGTGTCCCAGGCCATCAAGACCAGTCATATACGAAATCAAGGCCGCTCTTTCTGTCTGCATTTGATAGATAGAGTTGACCAGTCTGAGCAAGAAGGAAAGAATTAAGAAATAATTCAGCTTTAGCTATACTGAAACATGTTTTCATACTTTTATAGTAACGTAAAATGTCATGTTCCAGTCAATTCTCTAGAATCATACTTTACTATTGGAGTTGGTATCAGAAGAGTTTGGTTGGTTTGCTTTCTCAGTGTATTATAATAACAAGAGGTGTGGTACAGTGGAAAGGAAGGATGCCCAGTTTGAGAGATGTTGCTTTCAGTAGGTTCTTAGTGGCGCATCATGTGCTGAAGCTTTGGAAAGTTCTGTATTAGGGTGAGATTTAGAGAGCTAGGGAGCCAGCAGACATTTGAGACAATGAAACAGCTTGTTGCCTTTGGTCAGGATCATTAAACATGAGTAGCTATTATTGTGTTGCTGCTTTTCTGGGGAGTTCTAGGGTTCTTTGGAGGAGCCAGGGCTGGAGGTGAGGAGGGAGGTGGAGGCCTGGGGGGCACCCTCGGCAGCACTCCTTCCCAGGTGCAGCATCAACCTTATTTTATGTATTGGAGTTGCTTTAAGATTTTGTCCTGGAGGGACCTAGGGGGTGATGTTTCTTTTGCTTGAGAAAAAAAAAAAATTTTTTTAAGGTAAGTCTTGTGTCTTTCTTAAAACACTTTAACCTGCTTTTCAAAGCTCACTTTTTTCTACCAATGATAAGCCATGGCTGGAAATGTGAGGACCCTGCTGGAGGCGTGGACCTCTGCGGCCTGGACTTTTGTCTGGGACAGTGCCGGCCTCATCTGCCCACCTGTCTGAGCTGCTCTGGACTCCCATTTTGCTCTGGGAGAGCACAGAGGGATTTGCCTGCAGTCGCAGGCAGACTTTATGGACACGCCCGGGAAGCTGGTTCGACACGGAGAGGTGTCCATCTGACCCCTTCTATCATCCCATCTGTGGCAGAAATAGTGCATGATGGCAGCATCCTCTCGTAATTCTGTCGCCTCATCAGAGGCAGGTTCAATACACCCATCCTTCTCTCTTTATTAGCAACATTGAAATCACAAACAGGTTTCTGGGTAGATCTCTCACAGAAACTTGTAAGCGTTTCATGTTTGTTATTGTATTAAATTGTCTTCTGGGGGAAATCCCTGTAGGTCTTTCTGGGACTGCAGTATAAACCATTGTTTTTCAAACTGTGGTCCGTTACAGGACCACTGATAGCTGGAGTAACCCATACGGTTACTAATCAGTTAGGATTTATTTATTTTTAATTAAAGAATAGAAAAAGTATCAGATTGCATTCATTGCCTGTGCTAAGGGTATTTTTTCTTAAAACTTAGGTCTCACTTCTATGTGTATAAAACGTATTAACGTCAGAAAAGTTGAATGGGCACTGCTCATGCACAGTTGTAATTATTCTAATCCTGTTGCCCATGAGAGAGGCTTTTAGCTTTAGGCCTATTTAGGAATTTTTCCTTTAGTCTCTTAGAACAACACTTTAGCAATTTTACTGCTTAAAATGTACAAAAGAATGTCTTCTTTTTCAGTTTAGAGCAATTTCTTCTTCTAAGACTAAGTGACACACAGAGGAAAGTTAGATTTCAGTTTAATTCCAGGCTTAAATGTCTCTCAAAACAGCATGAATTCACTCTGCTCTCTCTAAGGCCTTTATTTGATATGTGGGGATCCCACTTCAGACTTTTATTGTGAGAGGTGAGAGGCTATCTAGCTATTCACACTAATCTAATTTATATTTTATTGGTTTCCTTTGTGTTTGTCTATTCTAATATGTAATACCTTATTCGTTTTTTTATTGTTCTTGTTTTTTTGGGTAAATGCTAATATATTTTCACCTAACCTTTGCAGGAAGAGAAAGTTGATAATTAAAGAGCACTTTGCGTCTACAGGGATTGCAAATACTATAAAGCATGTAGTTAGTGCATATTATATTTCAAAGTCAAGAGAAAGGTCAACTTAGTATCTCTTACTGAACCTGTTTAGTGATTGTAAAAAAAAAAAAAAAAAATCCCATATCTTTTGTGTCAGTGGATAAACACATTATACTTGACATTTAATAAAGGTGAATTGCTTACATATTTAAAATAGTATTTCCAATTATTAACAATTTTTTACATTTGAACTTTTCAATCCTAGGTAAGCGTATGAAATTTTGGAGCATTTTGTTGGCTTTGGGGCAACATTTCCTCTTTTCCTCCACAATCCCTTTTCCCCTGTGCCCACACACACCCCTTGGGTTCTTGTCCTAGATCTGCTGCTAACTGCTTACGTGGTCCACTTTGGGGGCTGTGTTTTTCTCTTCCATTACAAGGAGGAGGCTGAACTGTACTTTCTGTGCATCCTGAACTGAGAGCCAGGATAGCAACGTGGGTTAAGGGCATGAACTCTAAAGTCAGTCTGCCTGGACTTGAATCTTGGCTCCACAGTTTATTAACTGTGGGGCCTTGATTAATTTACTTCTGTCCAGTGTGCCTCGGTTTTCTCATCTGTATGTTAATTATGTGGTAAGCCTTCTGTAAGTGTTTTAAAATCTTTACAAGCCTCTCTTCAGCAAATTGGGAATGCCTTGCCCTGGGAGAACAAGAAAAATTTTGAAAGGTTTCTCGTCCCCAGGTTGCATTCCAGTGGAAGTCTCATTTGCAATAGGGGTAGCTGTCATCTTGGGCTGCATACAGCAGGAAGTGATTAGGAAAGGACTGATTTTCAAGGTTCTCCTGTGTCCCTCTTTCGTCTCCTGCTATATTTTCATCTTCCTTCTTCGCTAGCTAATAAACGACTTTTCTAACCCTGCAAGGGCCATGATTTTCTGACTCTCAGCCCTCTTGGATTGCTGACCTCCTGCAGAAAGAGCCTTTAGGGAAAACTGTTTTCTTCCCTCTTTTTAGCCACACTGTCTTAGGGTAAAGCTTATCTCTTTCATGAGGATTTAGCTAATGGCCATAGAGATAACATACCTTACACCCTGACATTTTCTGCTGAGCCCTCAAGTCTGACCTCAGCAGGCACGGGGCTGGAGCTGACAGTTAGGATAGACAGTGGTCTCTTTAATCAGGTGCTGGTGGAACCAGGGCAGCAGATCACCAGTTTCCCAGAGAGGAAATTCCTGGTGAGTGATTTTCACTGCTTCTTACCCAACTTGGCTTGGCTAGCTACATCCCATCTCTGGCATCCATTTCTGTGTTACTAATAAAACGAATAGCATTTATCAAATAAGGATTAGATGCTTAGCACTGTCCTGAGCACCTGAAATGAAATAGCATTAAATCCCATCAACAGCCTCCTGAGGTATAAGTACCATGAAAGTTCCGTGTCCTCTTCCTGCCACACTCTGCCGTCCCATGCAGACGCCCGGACAGATCTCACCTTCAACCCATGTTTTGGTTGAAATGTGCTAGTGTGTGTTCTGCATTTTGACCCCATAGGAACAGTTTACCCCACACCATGTACAAAATCATCCCTTGTCCAAGGGCTAGTTTTGTCATCTGAGTGAATCCACAACTGCAGGAAGTAGTGGAGAAATGCTCACCATAGTATTGGGTTGGCCAAAAAGTTCGTTCGGGTTTTTCTGTAAGGTGTTACACGTTTCCTTAACATCTTACAAAAAAACCAGAACGAACTTTTTGGCTAACCCCATATTTTCTAAAATTCCCTAATGTATGTAAATACTAATTTAGAGAGATACAGCTCACTCATGCATTTATTTATTAATTTCCTCTGTCTTTGTTTTGAGTGCTCACTGTGTGTTCCAGGGACTTTTACAGTGTGGGAGTAGAGAGATAAACATAAGACTCGTGAAGGTAATGGCAAGGTGATGAGGAAAAAGGTCACTTCTGTACATTTTACAGCCTGTGTGGCGGGGACAGGGGTGGTTGTACTAGGGAGATCCAGAGGTGGGAAATTGTTAGGAACACACAAGAAAGGACAGGTACACTGGAAGGTTGGGCTGGATCCAGGTTACTTTGAATGGTTAGGCTAAGGAGTTTACACTGGCTTTGGGAGGAAATTAAAATTTATTTCTCAAGAATACTTTTAGCTGTATAGGTAACAGAATACCTAATGGTGACTTAAACAAAAAGGTTTTTGAAAAAATTTTTAACAAGTGAAGAGGAAGGAGACCTTAGTTGTTCCAGCAGATTAATGAGGCCAGCATGGACTCAAGTCCTTTTTTTTTCTTTTTTTTTTGCGATACGCAGGCCTCTCCCATTGCGGAGCACAGGCTCCGGATGCACAGGCTCAGCGGTCATGGCTCACGGGCCCAGCCGCTCCGCAGCATGTGGGATCTTCCTGGACCGGGGCACAAACCCGTGTCCCCTGCATCGGCAGGCAGACTCTCAACCACTGCGCCACTAGGGAAGCCCTCAAGTCCTTTTCATCTTTCTATTTCAGCATCACTGGCAAATTGGCTCTCA